TTTCATCTCTGTTTGAACATTGATTTGGGGAAGTTTTGGACAATTGTATTCAATAAAATCCCCTGAAAAATAGGAATTTCTGAGAAATAAAAACCACCTCTGTACAATGCCATTCCAGTTCACTGCTGTAGTCATCAGGCAAGGGCTTGCGGGCGAGGTGGGTGGGGGGGTTGGGGGTGGCAGGAAGGACTTATTTTTACACCAGGGAAAATAAAATCTGACTTTCTCTTTGGAGTTTTCCCAGGAAACTACTTTATAAAGACAAATTTAAATCTCTCCGTTTTCTGTCCTTGAAGGTGGTAAATATGATTGCGGCTTTATCCAGTTTTATTGTAAATGAAACAGAGTTCAGACCGTCCGGCTGAGCGTCATGTGTTGGATGGCTGCCACGGACTAATGCAGACGTCCCGCTGGGAGACCAGAGAACTACACTCTGATTCACCAGATTGTGTTAAATAGTCCAGCTGTTGCGATTTGAAAGATAGTTACCTCAGAAGCGAAATAGAAATGAACTTGGCATTTATGCCTCAAACCATTTTTATACTGTTTGGCAATCAGCTTTTCAGAGGTAGCATTTTATAAAATAACTCTCACCGCTTAAAAGTTTCATTCACTGTAATGTTCAAAATGTCCCACCTTTATATTATCAGTAAAATTAAGCTTGAGTGATATGCAGAATTTGCATGAAATAAGCATTTCCCCCTTCATTTCATGAGCTTTGATTGTATTCAATTGAGCTCAGAACCACGTCTATTAGGACTCTTTTGGGCATTAGTTAATTTGAATTGCAGCCGAAATGTTAGCTAGAATGTTGTTGAATATAATTGGAACATGGAAAGTTGATTTTGAAAGGAATTTCATTGAATGCAAACAATGATGTGCTTTTTAAAAATTAGAATGCTGCGCACTTTCATCTCTTGTAACACAGTCTGAGAAATCACCGAGTCCCTTTATAAAGTTCAGCTCTGGCAATACCATTTGCAATTGTTCTGATTCTTCTGGTACCAGTATGGTTTGGAATCAAGTCTTTTACCAGCAAGCGGCCCCACCTGCTCAAGCCCCACATTATGGCTCCCTTACTGTTAGGGGAATGGTCACCCGAGTTGTATCTGGGCATCAGGCTTCATAAAATGGCCTACAGATATTGGCATATTGTCTCCTAGCATCTATTTTGCATTTTTGTTTTTGTCTTGAGGTCTTGAAATAGTCTTTGAGCAAATGAAATCTGAAAATATCTATTTGAATGGATCATGAGTTACTATCGGTTTGTTGTGGTAAGGAAAAAATATTGGGCAGGAAATCAAGATTCCAAAATTCGAGTCCTTCAAAGGCTGGACTAGTTCACATCAGTGACTCCTTTCCTATCATTTTAGCCTTCATGTCATTTATCAAATATTTTCCTGGGAAATTTTGCAGCATACACAAAAAGATCCGCCATTTCTCCTCATAAGGCCTCCATTTTCCTCCCTCACTTGTGATCATCACTCTTAGACGCAGTGAGGCAGAGAGCACACCTACTAGATGGTTGCATTTGAGTGCCTGGGAGTCTTACCTTGGGGGAGAAGCATCAGATTTACCCCTCTAGAACCTGCCACTCTGGGTGTCTAGAGTCAGAGCTGGGACACAACTTAGCACATCAGGGAGCAGACTCAGACTCTTCCCAAAGAGTGGCCTAAGATGAAATTCCCTTCTTCTGTAAGAAGCCCTGGGGAGACCGCAATGGAAACCAGGAATGGACCTAGTTATGTCAAGGCATGAGTTGCTAAAATTCCCAGAGGGGGAAACATCAAAGGATAGTCTGGAGAGACAGACTTTATTTTTGCAGATCTGATAGATGCAGCTGGAATCAGAGATTCAGAAAGAAATCAGTAAACACAGGCCCAAATTAGCCTGTGGCGGCATCATCATGTTTTTAGGATGCAGCTTTTGGTAAGCAGCCTGCTGCTGTGGGAGAAGCAGGAACAGGGAGGCAGGAACTGATTCTTGTTCTGGCTCTGCTGCTGATGAGCAAGGCTCTTCCCCTCCCCAAACCTCATTTTCTTCATTGAAAAGAGGACAGCTTGGACTACATGATTGCCATGGTGCCTTAATCCATTGGGATTCCAGGTCAATGGTCATTATCCTTGAGAAGCCAGTTACTCTTTCTCTCAGTGCTTAGATTGAGGGAAATTGCCCACCGCGCCAAGTTCAGTGATAATCAACATAGGGGTTCTCAAATTGCAGCCTACAGGTGACTTAATAATAGATTAATCTGTGCTTAAGAAGCCTACTTCAGGAGAGAAGAACAGTTCTTTGGACTGAGACAATTCCAGGACAAACCGAGGTTTCTGAGTTTTCAGTCCAATCAACATCCATTTGTTGCTGTTGGGGAGCCTGAGGGCATTTCCTGGAAGTTTTCAGCCTCCAGCTGAAGAAGAAAGCTTTTTTAGGATGTGTTCGCCACCCCCTTCACCTGCAAACACACAGGCATGAAAACATCCATGGTAATTCTACAGAAGTGGCGAAGGTCAGTATGGGTTGATGGAAGTCGCTCACCTGGAATGAGATGAATCCTTCCTTTGCATGCTTAGAACAAATTGACTGGCTTCCATAGCAGTGGGCTCAAGCCAGGATGGTGGAGCCAGACTATGACTTGAACTGCAGACGTTGTTGTAGCAACTAGCTAGGCTGGAACTTCATTTCTAGAATTTCTTTACCCATTTCTTTTCAGATTTGGGTTGGCCACAAGAGAAATTTGCATGAGAGTTTGAAGGCACAAACAAAATAGGAGACTTTTCTTTTTTTTTTTTTAATGCATAGGCCAGGCACTGACAGTCCATGCATGTTGTCACCCACTTGGCATGTGGCAGCAGCTGGCCCACACCTTCTCTGGCTCACCCCACCTCTCTTCCAGCTTCTCCAAATCCTGGGCCAGGAGCATGTTCGACTCCATGTGAGTGGGCCCCCACTTGCCCTGCAGGTCATCTGCATCGTCAGGTTTGGAGATTGTGAGAGACAGAGGCAGCTCTGGATTGTCTCCATTCTCTGCCACTTTTCATCTCTCTTCCTTTCCAGTTGTCAGAATGGCTGACTTCTAGCTCAGCATCAGATGTAGAGGCAGCGGACTTAATGGATTGCCAGCAAACTCCCTCCTTTGCCTGAGGTCTAATTCCTGTAATGACCCTGTATCACTCAGAGTGCTTCTGCATCTCTGACTGTACCCTAATGGATGCAGTCTGGGTCAGAGAAAGTCCAGTCAGGTAGCACCAGGAAACGACATTCCATACAAGTCTCAAAACACAGTAAAAGACATATTGAGACCCAGCTCCTTGGCCAAGGTAGATGGTAGTGCTGTAGTACTTTCTAATGACAAGTTAGAAATCAAGACAGAAGAAATGAGCAATCTGTCCTCATTTCAGTGGCGCCTTTCTTTCCTGCTCCTTGGTAATCTCTTTGCTTTTGTTTACCACCTCTTACGAAGGAGGTGTGTGTGTTAGGTATGTGTTAATCACTTAACTGAGATAACCAGGTCACATGGATAGGATAACTAACTAAGCTGGTGGAGTGGTTTTCCAGCATTTGGACAAATCTCTTAGTACCAGTTAGGAAGTGATAAAACTGTGGTCAGTAGACTTGGGTTTTCTGCACCTGAGCTGGATCCTGCAGACCACTCTCTCTCAATAGCTGTCCTGGGAAAGGCTGTTCTCTTGTTTTTATTTTACTAAAGGGACCTCCATACCAAAATCTTGGTTCCTGTCCATTCATTCTCACCCTTTGATGGTTCATTAGTATTTGCTTATTTGTTTACTTTACAAATGGATCTGTGCTAGTCCTAGCGACATAGCTATGAACAAAGCCAACCCGTTCCGAACAAAGCCAACCCGTTCCTGTCTCACGGACACTTAATTTTATTTGAAGAGGCAGACATTAAGCAACTGATTGCATGGCATTTAAGTATAACAGTGGTGAGCCCAGCAAGGGAGAGGTGTTAGGAGGTGAAAGTCAAACAGGCAGATCTGGCCTGCTCCAGGAGTCAGGTAGCAGCACAGGGTCACAGTAAGGGGCTGGCGCAGCAGCGGGTGACCGAGTGCATGTCCTGACCTCCAGAGGAGGCCTGGGGTTGGCTGGTTATGGTTAGCAAGCTGACGTTTTCCAGGACAGCCAGATGGCCCCTCCCTGCCTGGCACACACACTTCTACCTTTAGGCACCAGGGCTTGGCACCTTCAGATGGTGCTTCTACACGTGACTTCTGAGGGGACTACGTGCTGACAGACTCATGGCCAGACATAAGACAGGAGGGTCTCATGTCTGTTTCCACAAGGGAAGCGTCGCCCATTCAGAGAAGCACTAGCTTCTTGAATCAGAGCAAGAGAAGAGAGGAAGCCTCTGTGGAAAATGATCTGCATCTGACAACAAATAAGAAATCTCTCAAACACGAGTCTCCTTTTTAGAAAAAGTCAGTGGTGACAGCACTGTAGTTGATTCTCTGCCTCCTCATCTGCCCTATTCCTCCCTCATCCCTCCTCGGGTCTGGCCAGGTTCCCCCTAGTCAGTTATGATAGCCTCAGCAGTGATGGGGCAATGCACTTACTTCCCTGTCAGTGCCTCCTCACAGCTAAGATGTGCATAGGGGTTCAGGGGGGTTCACTGCTCCTTCAGCACAGTGAGGGCAGGGGAGTCTGTGCGGGGGACGGGGTGGGGGGGTGGAGGTGTGCACGGTGTACCTCCCCAGGAGAGCACGTCACGGAGCAGGTAGGTGCATTTGGCTTTTTTAACACTTCCATAGTTAATTGCTCTTTTCCTGCCTTCTTTCTCCTGGCCTTGTGCTACTAATACATAACCTAATAGCTTCATTTTTTTTTTTAATGGCTGGCACCTGAAACATCACTTTATGCATGTCGATTAGTCTCAGAACATTTTGGGGTTGTTTGTCTGAATCCAAAAATATGAAAGACAAATATTTTCTCTGTTTTTTGTTTGTTTGTTTTTTTCTTTTTTCTTTAACTGTTCATCGCCATAGGCCTCCCAGTAACACTGGATTCAGGAGACAGAGCATTGATGGTGAAAAACAAGCTGAACCAGTTGTAGTTTTAGATCCTGTTTCCACACATGAAGCCCAAACCAAAGACCAGGTCATTGAAAAAGATCCAGCTCAACGCAAGGAGGGTGAAGATGACGTGAAGCCAGCTTGCAAAGAAGAAAGCATTGAAACAATAAGAGACACAGACAGCTCTCACTGCTGATCGGTGAACAGAAGTAAACAGAAGACGGATGTGCCTGGAGTCCTTTTCAATAAGCACATGACTAGTCTGGGAGTGCTGGCGTGGGCTATCGGGTGTATTCAGAACACAGGTTCTTTTCTGAAGTCACTTTTGTAAGTAGTTCAGCTATATACATAAGTAAGTTGTTTAGCAAAGTACACATTCTAGTGGTTTTTGGTTTTTGATCTTATAGGGATAAGATTTTTCCTAGTTACTGTATTAAGTGTGACTGCCTTTAGAAGATTACAAAAAAAATTCAGATGATATCTTTTAAGGTAATGTGCATACCACTCATCAAATGAATTGCTGAACGTTTATAGCACTTGTGAATAATGGATCAATAGAACTGACCAACTGAAGGGGATTTAAAAATTTCTGAAAGAAGCTTCTGTTTTGGGTCTGTTGCTCTTTTGATGGAGAAACTGCAGCAGCATGGAAATTGTTAGGCACTGTGGCATATAGGTCACTTTCTAGGATGTACTGAGATATGCTTCAAAAAATCAGGCACTGCCATCCAGCTAGCAGTCCCATAGCCAGCGTTAATTATTCACACTGCTACTGATGGGATGGAAAATACATGTTTCTGGTTGTGTCCAAAGCCTCCCGAGGACTTTGGTGGGACTGCTCTGGTGGCTTGAATGGAGAATCACAGTAAAAGGCTGAACCTGTGAATTTAAGAGTATTATCTTAGTAAACCAGGAGCTCTGTATGATGAGTTAATTATGTCTTTCTCACGGACTAGTATGGCACAAGTACCATATTTTGTTACATTTTTCATGTACAGTGAAGATAAGCGACAACCACACAATTTCCTTGCTTCACTGCTGTTTTACATTACACAGGTTTGTTGTTGTTGTTTTTTTAAGAAATTAAGTGGTAGTTAGTCTCTAAAAATACAATATTTCAGGCTACCACAGTGACTAAATAGAAACGTAATCAGGGATTTTTTTTTCAACTTATGCAGCTTTTCAAAGTTGATTGTTTCAAAATTGGTGTTTATTTAAAATAAGTGGTAATGTACTTGAATGCATTTTTTTCATGACAATGATTCAGTAATGGTAATTTTACTATTAAAGGGAGTGAAAGGCTTGGTTTTGTTAGCATGGCTCAGCATGTAGCTGTCAGGTGTTTCTCACCTAAGGGCAAAAGAAAATGATAGTAATAATTGCAGTTGTATTTTATTTTTGCACGTGTGCTAAGGCTTGAGGAGGTGGGTAGGCAGGTAAATGTACTTCCTAAATTTGGAGATAATTATCTTTCTATAAGTTCGTTATGCTTGACTGTTTCCATGTTCTTCCAGTGATGATTTTACAGTTACTTACCGGTTTACTCATGGGGAATTAAAAGGTAATGGTTTTCAACTGTAATTTTCCCAAATTGAATAATACTGCTATATGATATAATAGCTATCAACTGCATTAATTCACCTAAATGAGTTCTGATAATGCTGTGATTTGAACTCTCTGCTCCACACTTATTAAAAAGCACCAAGAGTTTCCCAATTAAGGCCAATTGTGGTTATTGACATTTTTGGTTTAGCTTCCTAATCTTGACATTCTTTAATAAGAATATCATAAAGGAATTGATAACTTTAGCAGTTTTTAATAACTCACAACGTGGTTTGCTGGGGGAATTTTATTCCATGTTTCTTCAGCTTTTCCTTCCTGGTCCTTGTGTCTGCCGGTTGGTCTGTTGTCGTATCTCACACACAGTTATAAAGACTCGCGTGCTTGCCATCTGTTATTTCATCATGCACATCGTCAGGATAAAGCAGTTATGAACACCCTCATTTCCAGGGTGAGAAATTAACCATTTGGTGAGATGTGTTCACTGGACCCGACAGCAGTAACTTGTATTGTGCCAATGTTCTTGCCTTTCTAAGTTGCTCTCTGTCCTTCTCCATGATGACAAAGCATTTCAACTCCATTTTATATAAGTGTATTTGCTGGAGACTGTTCTTCACCTTTTTCTGAGTGATTTTTATAATAATAATCCATGCCCTATAGTTTTGTCCTTTTTGCCTAAGTTTTGAGAAAGTTCGCCCTGCTAGGGTGCATCACCAACAGCAGACTGGGGCGGAGAGGGGACTTACCTTTAAGTTTTTAGCTCTTTGCACCACTTACACTGTTCTGCAGTTGGAAGGGAACCCCACGTTGGAAGGGAACCCCACGTTGGAAGAGTTTTTCGTTTTCTCTATATGATAATTGATTTTTCCTTCTGATTTGGAAATGTGAATCATGGCTCATCCACCGCAGAGTTTTTGTAACTAATGTTGATACACTTTTATAGCTAGTGAGGCAAACGGACAGATGTACTTTATACTCTTGCTGTTTAAAGAAGAGAAAGAAAATGTCTCCCTTTTCTGAAAGAATAAGAACTTAATTAAAATTCTAGCTCCCTTTTGTGTCTGAGCTAGTCCCAAATGAATGCCTCTCCCACAGCAACTCTGGCAGTGACTGGTCCTGTGGAAATTCTGACTGTTAGGAGCCACCAGGCCTTGGACACACAGCCTTGTCTGACCTGAGTAGAAAGGGTGGCTATTGGCTACTAACTGGTCATTCCTCCCACCTTCCCTTGATTAACAGTTGCTTGTCAATAGAGCAATACAGGTTCTGTGATGCCAACCAGTGTTGCCCATTCCCAGAGGGAACTCACCACGCAGCCAGTTGCAGGTCACGCTTGGAGAGCAAGGCCCTGGCTCTGCCATAGGCCATTAAGTTCCCCCATTAGTATTCATCAAAGGGAGAACTCCTCAGTGTGCTTAGTTAAAACTTTATGGAATGTAGCAGAAATCTACATTTGGCCAGCTCTGCCACAGGGCATTGCCTAGCAATTGATTTCACTTTTGGGAAAAGCAAACAAACTGTCTTCATGGAGAAACTAAATCATATCAAGCAGCTGGACATTATTATATCTATAGATATGTGTTTGAACACGTCTACCTCTGCACAAGTCTGCTGTGACCCCAATGCTGACTGACAACAGAGGTGGTTCAGTCAACCTATATGTTGGCTTGTTTTTAATCAGCTCTTAAATGCTGTTATGTGAATATTGGGGCACTTATTACCTTAATATTTATTCATTTGCTAATGTGCTTTTGCATTTTCACCCATTCTTGTTCCAAAAAGGGGCTGATGAGACCCACAAGGATATAAATAATATCTTTTAGAAAAAGTAAAATTTAGAAAGAGGAGGGAGTCAGGAAAGTGGGCATTAAGGGCAGGAAGCTAAGAGGAAGCTGTTGGGCTGGCTACATGGAAGTGCTGCTACTTCTGCATGAGGTTGGCTACAAATGCCCTGTGCTTTTGAGCAGGGAGGTGCAAGCAAACGCTGAAGAAGAACATCAGTGCCTGGCACGGAGCTTCCAGGGTAGAAGGTTTTTGTTTCCAAGCCTATAAAGTCTGAGATGATTCAAGGGCAACACAAGTAGTGAACTCTTACTAGGTCACGGCCATCCGAAATGGACAGGAGAGCTGGTCTACTAACAGATTCCCATGGAAATGTGATGACTGCAAGACAGAGTTCACATGTGTGATGCAGGCACCAATACTATACATTTATTTTACCCAACAATGAACTTCAAAGAGTAAAAAGAGCTACAAGGTAGTGAAGTTTTAGCACAAGACCAATATAGAGAGGTCACCCATATTGACCTGTCTGTAACTACTGTTGGTATGGACAGGGTGGGTGTAAACTGGAGTGTGTACAGCTCCACCCAAAGACGCTCATGTTTGGGCTGCCTCCTCTCCAACTTCTGTGGGGAAGATGGGCTCCAGGGGCTGGGTCATCTCACCAGCCACAAAGGCAGCAGCCTCGGGTGTCACAGCATCCTTCTCGGCTTCCTCATCCAAGTCAAAAAATGTGTGTTCTTCGTTGAAACCTATTCAAAAAAAAAAACCCACAATAAAGCTTGCCGTCTAATCCTACAGTGTTGAGTGGATGTTATTTGTTGCGTGGTGTGGGGCGGCCATCTTTAGAGGCCACAGGGGTCACATCAACAGTAGAGCAGATTCCATGCCATGGAGGAGTTGTACATAAACTGTGCACTCACTTGTTTTGTTGAATTTTCCTTATACCCTTAAACAACATTCTGGAACTGGTGCTATGCAGTGGGCTTGGGCGGAGGCTTAGCAGAAAAGGCTAAGAGGGACAAGATGAATTGGAGGAAAGGCTGGCATCCACATGGACATAGCCTAGTGCCAGCTCTCCATTCCGGGCCAGTAAGCAAGCCCAGCCTTGTCTGTTCCAGTGAGGTCCATGATGTCAGTCAGAGTATTTTAACAGCTGAGCTTTGGGCAAATTTTCCTATTCAAAAATGGAGTGAAAAGATTTGTTTTTCTAGTTTGGGGCTCCTTTAATGTTTACTGACCACTGTGAATGCTAGAGATTCTCATTAACCTGCTAATATGCTCCTGAATGCTTAGAACCTGTGCTATCCCTGGGAGGGGCTGGGCCTCTGGTCACAAGAGTGCTTTTTGATGCCCTGAAGCAGCTGTTTCCCTTGTGGTGAAGTTTGACTGGAATGTCATAGGTCATTTAAGGGACCTAAGGCTTTCACATGGCAAGATGTCATAAAAAAATGATCAGGCCATGTGAAGGAACTCTAGAATATCTATTTGTGAAAAATAAGCCCATATGTAACACACTAAACAATACAACACAATACTGCCCTTTGTTTGCATGACACGGAAAGTCACGGTTTTTTTTTTTATGCATCTAAGGATGTGTTTCATTGCATATGTTAAACATGATAAATTTATAGTCACAATTTGTACTGGACTCTTTTATGCATAACTGAGTTGCAAAGTAAGATGGCGCCCTTGTTTTCATCTCCAGTAATTGGCATGCTCCAAATATATTCTATAATATATATATCTCATTTAATAGATTTCATTTATAGCATCCAGGAATATTTAATATCCTAATTGTCAACACTGCTTAAGTAACATGTACTTTTTTTTCAGTGTATTGATTCAGTCTATTCTAAGATATATGCACAAACTAGTTTCAGTATTACAATGATAATAACTATTCCTGTCTTGAACTATCTCTGTGAGCTGTTTACCTACTTTTGGCCCTCACAGTCAGTAATGTAAAGTAAAAATGCACATTTGGGGTATTTCTCTCTAATTAGCCAATACACAAAGTGTTTCAACCCAGGCAAATTTATAAAGGTTTGATTTCATAAATGTTCAGTTCATTTCTCTAAAACCATAGTACAAGCTCTTGCAACATTAAAATTAAATGCTGCCTATTTGTCAGAAGCCAAAAAAAAAAAAAATGTTTCCAAGAGCCTTCAGGAAAAAAATCAGGAGAAACCCGTAAGTATAATTTGGACCATAACAAAAGGAAGGCTTGGAGATTCCTATCAATTAATTCTATTGAAAAGCATCATGCTGCCTATTCACAAGGGCTTTAAACATTCAGGTAAATAGATAATCCATTAAGACAACAATGTACATTGTGTCAAATGCCATCCTAGTTTTGTCAGCACTTATTCATAGTCTTTGGATTCCCCTGCCCTCCTGCTGGGGGCTTCTATGCCCCCTCTTCCAATCTTTGTTCTCTTATTCATGGCTAAGTAAAAACAAAACAAGAAAGCAGCGCATACCCAGTGTTTTATTCTGGACAAGTTCTTCCTCTATAGTAAGAAGGCGGTTGTACTTAGTCACCCGCTCGCCTCGAGAAAGACCTCCCAACTTGACAAACCGGACGCCGAGTCCAGTGGCCTGAAGGGAGGAAATAACTTACTTTAATTGGGAAGCCATGTCTTGCTAAGTCATAATTCTCTCGGGAGGAAAGACACGGTCACTCTGTGCTGTTTTGGTTTTTCTCCTATAACTTAGTTTTCTCTCTTTACGTAAGTGGCCTGCTTTCAAGCCCAGAGTGGCAGAAAGTAAAGATACGGTGTGACTGTACTGCAGATGCTTTACTCGTCAGGTCAGCTGCTGATTTTAGCTAAGAACATTCTGGCCTTTCTCACTTCATTTTAGGAGGTAAGATTGCAAGAGCACACCCCCATCATTTAAGTGGGCTCATCATTCTCCCAGGACTTCAATTTTTCTTCTTTTTTAAAGTTCAAAGATTAGCTCTTTGCAAAAGGTAGCTGTCTGGCAGGAAGCAAGTCTATTTCATAAAAGGTTACATGACTTTCTCCACCAAAGACTGCATTTCTCTGAAATACCAATTCGTGATAAAAGCAGTGTTTTGGCAATTCTGCAATTGACCAGCTTTCAGCACTTACCAAATCGACAAGGCTGTCATCAGACGATTCTCCTTCTGTACTTCCAAAGATGGTGATGCGCCTTTTACCTTTAAGCAGAGGCAATTTTTTTAGTTCATGTGGTATAGGAATGGCATGCATATATTTGCCTCTGGGAGCAACATGTAAAATTTGCCAGAGATTTAAAACCTTCCTATAAAGAGTCAGTGATTAGGCCACTAAGAATTCTAATCCAAACATCTGCATTTTTATTACCCTGGTTTTATCTGTTTAGCCCTTTCTGGTATCTTTGATGCTAAATACTAAATGAATGCCAAGCTTCATCAAGTTGATTATGAGATGCACCATTAATACCACCAAACGGGGCAAGTGTTCAACCAGACTGACATATTCGTAAGACAAAGCTGTGTGATGGGATCAATTCCATCCATGTTCAATGTAGAAAAAATGTGCATCTTTGAGTCAATACGTGGTCAGTGTAAGGGGATTGGAGGGGGGAGTTGGCGCCTGAGTAATGGATTTCACAGTTCAGCTCACAGACTTATTCAAGGGAATCTATCATCCTAGATGTTTACTTGTTAGAAGAGTAGTCTGAATAATATTTTCTCAGTCATTTGAGGCTTGCAAAACCTCTTGAAATTTGCTAGTCTGCAAACAGAACAGGCCAAATGGGGTGGGGTGTGTCTGAGAGGAGCTACAGCAGCAACAAGAAGTTAACAGGCCTGCTGAGAGGGAAGCCCAGGAGGAAAGGCCAGGCCCCAGGCCTTCCACCTACAGGCCAGCCCTGCCTGGGCCTTACTGGCAGGCTGCGGGCAAGGAACCACAAGGCATTTCGCTCCATCCTCCAGCACACCCAGGCCTCTGCTGCCAGTCAACTCTGGGTCCTGCTCCAGTTCTGAGACTAGCCTTCAGCCTCGTTCCTGAGACCCACTCATGACATTTATGTGTCAGGAGCTGTACGTAAGTAAACAAGACTCCCATGGACGTGCAGGAGTGTGCCATGGTGGGGTGAGGGGGGAATACCAGACATTCACTAATGGTGCAAGTGGCTGGTGCTTCAAAGAGAAACTATAATCTGCTATGAGAAAGGTTCAGAGCAACCAGGCAGGACCAGGGAGGCAGGGGAGGCATGTGTATCTGGAGAGGTTTCACCTAAGACAGGAGGCCCTGAAGGAAGAGTTACCCATGCAAAGAGTGCAGGGCAAAGAATTCTGGCTGAAACAAAAGCATGTTCAAAGACCTCAGGGTGGTAAAGAGTCGAAACTTTCTGAGAAATTGAAAAAGGCCATTGTGGGCAAGTGGGACCCCAGGTGTCATGTGACGCTGATAGGGCAGTGACCTTAGCCACCTTGTACAGCAGGGATGATCTGGACTAGGGCTGTTCGAGGGACATCGTGAAGTCAATCAACAAATTCAGTTCATTCCCTGTCTTTCCGATTTGTACATTTACTCACTGTCAATAAGGTTGCTTATTTCCACCAAGTCCGACATCGTAGTTTGATTTGTGTGTCTTATGATCAGCCCGCTGGACTTGGGGGTGCTGATGTTTCCATCCTCAAGAAGTTTGGAAATACTTTTGGATGCAGTCTCTGCGATGATATGGCACCTGGAGCCAAGGGCGTTACAGATGCTTTCCCACTGCTCAGCGTCCTGGGTGAACATTGGAAGCTTATCGTTATGATATGTTGAACATAATCACAGAGCCACAGGAATCACATAGCAGCAATTAAAGCCATCTACCTTTCTAAAATACACCATCCAGTCTTCTGCATCTGTGGCTGAATGAAGCCTGAACGACAGCCACACAAATTAACAAGCTTGGTGGAACAGAAACGTCAAGTGATGACATTTGAGCTTAAAGATCTGGTGAATTAAATGTTAGTAAACATTAAATGCTATTTTCCACATTAAGTCTGGAGTTACTGAAATGGAGGCTGTTCCCATCAACTGTGTTATCCATGATGCTGGTGAAGACTGGCTGGTCACAAGATTTTACTGTTATTTCTGGTATATAGCTGAAAGAAATGAGTCTGCCAGGATTCTTGGTCCTCATTCACAACACCATGTTTTACTGATGAAACCACCAAATGAAACAAAATGCTTCTTATTTTTAAAATGAGGGTAGACAAAGTCTCAGGCATTGTGCTTTTAAGCTGTCCCATTAAAATAGAATGATCAAGAGTGTCATCCCACACTCAGAGTGGCTGAGGCCAGGACAGGCTTCAGGAGACAGGCCTGGAAGGTTAAAGAACTGAGCTCCTGTGGCATCTCCCCCAAAGAAGAGGGATTGAGCTCCTGGGACTGTAAAAGAGACCCAGAATTCTTCCTGACACCCCCACCCCTCATGTAAACAGTTATCTCAAAGAGGCCATCTATCTGTTTGGTATGTCGAATGGCTCTCCAGTTCATAAACTCGGGAATTGCAGTTTGGGAGTTTAGGTGGCTCAGGAAGAAAGCTGGTCTCCCAGGTACGTCCACAGCTCTTGCTAGGTGCACTTGTTTCAACAGGTTCCCAGCCTCAGTATCACAAATGTTTCAAGACAGCTTTGTTACTTTTATGACTATATAGAAACCGTATTTAGGTTCAAAAGCTTTTGGCCTAGTTGAAGTCCTGTTTCCAGGAGCACTTGAAAATGATATGTGATTAACCTATTGAGGCACCAACTGGCACAGCAGGCTCGGCTTCCATCCGTTCGGCGGCTCGTAAACAGGCAGGTACTCCTGAAGTGCCCGGGGAGTAGCTTGTTTCATTCTGTGGACGGGCACACTCCTACGTAATTGTGTTTACGCTATTCATTTGCTTAGTAAGTGCCTTTTCTCACAGATGCCGGAATAAATCAACTCAGCCCCAGCGCAAATTACAACACATTTCCAATGACAGGTCCAAACAATAAGGTTTTATTATAAAATTCAAGGTGCGTTCTGTTACCTCCTTCCTGAAAGGATCAATTAAGGCGATAATGGAGGGGAACTTGTTGAGCAGATCCGCGTACAGCTCCACCATCTCAGCCGCCGATTTGTACGTCCCCGTCATCACTTCATACTTTCCTTTACTCTGAGAAGTGAAAGGAAGATATTAAAGAACAAATCGTACATTCCTCAAATGTTAAATGTGTGGCTAAAATTCGATGTCATTCATTTCACACAGAAGATCAAAACATGCGCTTTGGGCCACATTCACAGGAGAACTCTTGGCATTTTACTGTCACTGTGAACTTGAGAAACGGAGTCTGCATTCCTCCTGGTGCCACACACAGCTCTGGCTGCTGCTGCAGAGGGAGCCTTTGCACGAGAAGCCAAGTGCAAGTACAGAGTGCGAGGGAGTCCCTTCTTGGGTTTATGATGTGGAGCCGGAGACCTGACTGCCTGGGTGGATGGACAATAACATTCCTAAAACAAGCAGACTGGCCATGCAACCCTCCCACCAGCTTTCACCTTACAGTGAACAAGCACCTGTCTCCACCTCTGTGACTATTCTAAGATTCGAAAGGCATGTTAGGCGTCAGGGAGCCTGACAACCAATGTGAAATGTAAAGTGATTCATGTGAAGGTGCCTCTTCCCCTGGGAGCATGTCACGACTGTACAACCCCACTCACCTGGTGTCTGGAAACCCCCCCAAGTCACAAAGTACATAAGTGAACAGGCTGGAGGACCTAGTGTGGTCTCTGCAAAACAGAGCACCCTGACCTCCAGATCTGTATTGTGGGTGGCATGTGGATGGCACCCGGGACACCAGGGGCCACGAGGATGTTGCCACAGGACAGAATGGCCGCTCATTAACCAGCCTTCTTGTGCTGCCGCTAACTGAATGGACTCCACTGGCACTGAGCAGTTTCCTCAGAAGTCCGCGGTTGTCAGGATTTGATATTTTTCCCACATCAAAAAGCAGCAAGAACTTTCAGATTTCCATAATGCTAAGTTTTAGAGTCCTATCTTGTCAATGAGGAAATGCCAATGACTTTGAAATAACATTATTGTAAGAATTATCTGATGTCAAGCTGGCACATTTTACTGAATAGCAGCAACCCTTCCCCGTTCTAGTTAGCACAAGCAGTCAGTATAGCCACAGTTCTTGGTATATGTTCCTGATGAAAACATGCAATTATTTTCCTTAATGGTATGCTTCGGAACCAGTCATTATGTAAAAAAAAATGGGAAATTACATTAAACATTCTTTTGTGAGCTTAGTTTCTTTAGAAAAGGCAAAGAACATTTAGAAATCAGCTGAAACTAGGGTTCTTATATACCACTCAAATTTACCTTTGACATTGAAAGTTAGAACAGCAAATCAAACAGAACCCTATTTTGGTCATGGCCCTTGAATTTGACATCAATTACCAAGTCCCCATAAATGCAAGTCAGTATGCTGGGCACTTTGGACTCAGCATTTGTGTATTTGAAAGTAGAAAGTGTGACTGTGTTTAAGACTGAAAATTCCTAATAGCTTCCCTAATGAACCAGTTTCCCAAGTTTAAAGATGAATTGCTGGCTAATTGCCCTGAGGAAATAAGGACTGCAACTTTTTTTTTTTTTTAATCAACCTGTTTTCTATTCTTTCCTTTTAAAATAACTCCCTACCCGGGGGTGGGGGGGTGGTCCCCAGTGAAATCTCAACACTGAAACTGACCTCCTATCCTAGGCTGTAGCTTATAAAATTATATTGTGATGGGCTTACCTGGATAAAGGCATATTCTCCATAAACTCCAATAACTTGGGAATAGTCTTTTATTTAAAATGGGAGTCGCAGCAAAAACTCCAAGAACTGTGTGTCTAGAAGTCATATCAAGTCACAGTTACAACTAATATACTTTCACGCTTGACAAATTCAGCTTCTACCAACGAAATGGCTGTGTGAACTCAGCAAGACATGCCAGTTTGTTTGTTCAATTATTTTTCAATAGCTCTCATGATTGCAAGGTAAGCAACCCATTCTGTTCATTTTTGGTACAGAATTTCTACATAAAATTACTATGACATTTCCGTTATTTGAAAGAGCATGGTTATGTTAGCCTCTGCTCTTCAGCTGACTCAGTTTTCTTAAATCCATTTGTATATGGGTCCCTCAAACAATACTAAATGTTTAAAAATAGGGTGCTTGGAAAATATACTGGTAAGCTCTTCTTTTGGGTTCTATTATGAACACAATGGTACCGCTCCCCAAAGTGAAAATTCTGGAGTGAAACTTACATAGTCCATCAACTCGTGGGCAGCACAGTTGATGGCAAGATGCAGGTTCGTCCCCAGTTCAAGCCCCAGGTTGGCACAGATTCCTTGTATGAGGAGCAATGGCTGCTCTATGGTGTCGTAGTTAATGGTTAGACAGCCAAGATGGGACATCTTCCCAGTGATCAGCTGCTGCAAGGTCAAAAGGAACGGCATGTGTAAATATCCCACATTGCGGTTCTTGGTGCTTCTGTGTAGACATATGTTATATCCAGTCAGAGTTCTCTAAAGATGACGTCCCCTGATTCTCAATCCTACTTCCAGGGTCCACTCATCTCTGCATCCCTTTGGGCACATGATGGCCCTGCGATATCTGGAAGGAATACTCCCAAGTTTTCCTAGTTTGACCTAGGAGGACATATTTCTCTCTTAGTGTACCTCTGTTTCTCTTTATTGGCTCTGCTGCAATAGGTGGACTAACCTGCACCACTGCTACCCTGTCAGTGAATCTCCAGGCTGACCCTGTCAATTTCTGACCTTGCCTGTCTTTGACTCTGTCTATCTCCATCAAACCTGCTCTTTTCTATGTTCCATTTTACTTTAGAATGTAACTGTTGGAACTTAAAAGTCTAACCTCCTTGCAGGAAAAGTGTTACTTTAAAAAGCTAAAAGGATGGATTTCAGTGGAAGAAGACTTGAGGACCCAAGTGAGCACAAAGAAAGGCATCTATACCCTTCTCGTTCAAGGTCAGCCTTGAGGTGACCATATTACCATCAATCTTGAATATGCAATCATAAGTTGAAGAAATATCAGTAATTTTGAGGGTGTAAGAGGGTGTATGTGTGTGTGTTTATCAGATTCAAGGGCAAATATAAACCTTGGTATAAATATCCCATTTTTTATTGGTGAAAGCACTAATTAGTTATAAGAACGATCCAATGTTTTTAATGTCAATTTCCTTTACTTGGCAAAGGAATAGTTGGGGACATTTTTGTGACTCAATTGAGTCACACACAGTCTTTAAACTGAAAGCATCACTGGATGTATACTAAATGTTAAGCACTATTCTTAGCACTTCATATAAAGTAAATACATCTATTCCTTCTGTCCACCCAGGAAGCAGCAACTGTTTCAGAAAGACAGAAATAACTTGGAACAGATAATAACCCAGCCATCGTAACTGCAGACTCCAGTTCTGGGATGGCTGCCTTTCTAGATTCTATCATCTAACCTGTTTCTAGTAAGAAAAAAAAGAAAGAAAAAGATATAGTAGAAGTAAAGTTGATCACAGGCAGGGCTGGTCTTGGCTGAGTTTCTCAGGACACGTACACAGCCTGCTGGGGTATGGGCACAGCTCTGAGGCCTGGTGGCTTGTCTCCATCCCCTCTTCTTTTTCACGTTAGGGCGGTGTTCACCCCCCAGACTAGGTATCCAGTATTCTCCTTCCTTCTGATTTATGCACATAGTTCTCCCATTTTTGACGAGGCCTCAAAGTCCTCTCCTTCCAGTCCCTCCTGCTCGTGACTTCAGCAGACTCAGGGCCCTGATGTCAAGGCAGGCCTGGTGATGGCAGGGCCCTGGAGCAGGTGCTGCACTGGGCAGAGGCTTCATCCTTTCCTGTTGTCTCCAGGGTTCTTGTTGGTTGTCCTAACTATGTCGCTCTAAGTTGAGACATAGAGTAAGGTGTCCAGCAGATGTTCCAGTAACACCATTTCATTCTAACGCCAGTGAGTAAAACTCAATCCTGCTCAACGTGAATCAACATTATTCAAGAATCTGCTTTTGTTACAAGGTGCTTTGCTTAAAGTCACAGTTTTTAAGAGCCTATAGAAGATGTGAAGTGCAGACACAGAATTACTCCATCTCTCAGAGTCACCACAGTCACTGGCTAATTAAATTCAGCTCCTCCCTCCTCAAAGCTCTGGCCGCAGTGTGGCCAGTTCTCACAAGGAAAATGGAGGCTGACCCTCCTGGCAAAATCTGAGCTCCAACGCAGTTCCTTGGAATGGTGTGTCAGTAGCTTTTGGAGACCAGATGAAAGGAATGGCCATTTTTTTGTGTCTTTTCCTCCTCTCTTTGGTGGTAGTACAATTAAAATCTAAAACATCCTATAAGCCTTTCCGTCATCAGGAAACTTCAACCTCCCAAACACTTCATCTCTAGGGTAATCCAGTGTAATCCTATTACTCAGTTGTCCAGACAACTGCTGGCAGAGATGGCCAGGCAGCCTGCTGCCAGGGAGGAGGGCGTAGAATGCTATCAGCTCGGGGGACCCCTGGCTTCCTGCTGTTAGAACAGATCAGCGTACAATTCCATTTGTGTTAGTCCCAGTGGCTGGAGCAAAATAACATGGGAGAGGAAAAGGGACAGGGAATATATCAGCAAAGTTGTCACATAGGTGTCTGGTAAACACATGTACTCACTTGACCTCGTTTGCCTCCATTATGCCCTTTTTTCGTCTCTACTTTGGGAGGAGGGGGCTGTGGGACAGAAGATGAAGACATGTCACTTGGGATTTTCAAGTCCTGTCTGTGGCTGACAACAGAGCTCCAGGTCCTCTGGCCTGTCCCCTGCTCTGGGGCCTTGCCAGTGGCACTGAACAATCTCTCCCTCTCTCCTGCCCTCCCTACCTCCCCTGCCCCCCACTCCACCCCAGAGATGGTGCCTGCTATTATAAACCACAAATTATTTCTCAGACTCAGGCATGTGTTCCCTTTAGTGCATCCTTATACTCTGCCTCCAACCACAAAGGTGGATGTGTGTGTGTGTGTGTGTGTGTACGTGCGCACGTGTGTGTTCATGCACTTCTACTCATAGAAATAAGTACAGTCACTCATCTTCTGAGCACATGTGTGAGCCAAACTTGTTTTTATAGGAGGTTACCAAGTCCCTCCTCACTCTCCAGTATAACAGCACTGTGAGGCCTGTATTTATGGGCCCCACGCCCTGTTTTGCACATTCTCAGAGTACAAACACTTTCCCCTGCAGGTGGGATCTGACCTTTGGCCAAGAGCCACTCACCCTGGCGAATCTGCCTGTGTGACATCACTGGAGAAGAAAAGCATAGACGTTCCAGTTTGCTTTTCTTCTCAGTGACGTTAGGGCCCCAGCTTGCGTGGCCTTTGTACAGGATGCACCTCAATCCCAGCATCTGCCTCCCCAGGAGCTGGGCTGCGTTTCAGGAGCTGCCATAGTTCACATTGGTCAGCCCACGGTGGTGATCCTGTTTCTGTCACTGGGATCTGGTAGAAGGGACATACTTGGGAAGCGAATGGACGTGCTGGGCGGGGAGGTGCAGGCAAACCTGGCCTTGTGTCTGAGAGCGCAGTCTAGTGAGAGGAACTGGTGGGATTCAGATTCTTCCCAGAGGAAGTGGGGTGATGGGAGGGGGAAGGGGACTCTGAAGAAGCTGAGACTTGGGGGTAAGTGGGTAAAAAGAAGCACCTGTGTGCCCAGCACCCAGGGAACATGGTCTTGCAGAAGCAGCCTGAGAGCAAAAAGCAATGCCTTAAAGCAAGGTTCCCATGGTTGATATTTGGCTGGAGACCCCTTTGCTCTGGAGGGCTGCATGTTGTGGGGTGTCTAGCAGCATCCCTGAACTCCGCTTACTAGATGCCAGCAGACCGTCACTCCAAGCTGAGACCACCCAAGATGTCTTCCGGCATTGTCAAAAACCCCTTGGGTGAAATCTCTGCCCATCCAGCTGAGCATCACTGCCTTAAAGAACAGATGGAAACATTTTACCACATCAAAATTTTAAAAAGAAAAGGATCCCTATGACTCCAAAAAACACAGTTAAAAGGCAGGCAGCATGAGAGAGGGGGACGTGTGTAACACTTAGAATGGAATGAGCCTTTTCATAAGAACGAGATGTCAGAAAGGACGAACACATCAACAAAAAGGGCAAAGATGCAAAGCAATCTGCAGAGTGATTTGTGCACAAATTTTATATTTTAAACCCAAAACATACCATCTGTTGGTGCGCCTGTCTATCGGTATAAATACAAAAGAAAGGCTGGAAGCCACTCACTGCATTTCTAAAGGCAGCTACAGCCAGAGAAGGTGGGGGTAGGGAGTGAATGGGGTGGGGCAGGTAAGTAGCTCTACCAGTATTTGAATTTATACATTCATGAACTACTGGTAAAATGGAAAAATCGACAAACATCCGAAAGTTCTGACGATTGCAGAAATCTCAACTGGAATGTCCGGTCATTTTTAGCTGGGTTCTGTACTTCTGCTCTCACCACACGCCCTGTGCATTCTCACTGGTGGGCCTGCTGGGCCCTGAGTACTGTGTGATTCCTCTCCTTGAGCCTCACGGCCCCCGGGGATTGGGCCTTTCTCATGCCCATTCTATAGCTGAGGAACCTATGGCACAGAGATTTTGTAAAGTCACACAGCTGGCAAACGGCAGTTCAGAGTGCAAGGTCAGGGTGCATTTGCCCATGTCTGACTCTTGTCCTGCACTGTGAGTCCCCTTCGAGGCCTGCTAACCCAGGGGCCCATGTCTGCCCCAACACTGTATTCTAAGCTGGCGCAAGTCTGCGTCTTGACCGTTATACCAAACTTCCCTTTGTATCGGGCCAAATCCTTCCATTGCAAATCCTAAGGGGTGATCTTAGCATAGAGGCAGCTGTCTTAGAAATCAAGATGAGATTGTTAAGTATTATTAGAAACTAGGTCCACAGCCTCTGAGAGAACATGCAAGCTTAGCTCATGTGGGAAACTCAAAGCAAGTGAATACACTTTCCATCCTGGTCAGAACAATATTGACTTATTCCCATAATGAATGCTACATTGGACACGAGAAGGTATATAAGCATTAGGAATGAGAAACCATTCATTCTCTTTACTTACCATTTCAATTGTTTTGTTAATCTGTTTCTGAATTTCCAGAAGCATCTCCACACCCTGGAAGTAGAACAACCATGATTCCCACAAGTACAATGGAGAAAGTTTAAACATAAAAACTTATACCACACATGGTTATTTCTAAATCAGATTTTGTAGGGTCCCTGATAAGGCATCCCCGTGAGTAGACAAAACCAGCTTAAATGTTAATCTTAGCCCTCAGTTTTTATTAGTTGAATATGAAAGAGTTTCTTCTTCTTCAGGGTCCTCCCTTCATTGTTCAAGGCTGATCAGTTTAGTTGGTGGGTATTAGGTTAACCTCACTTTCTTCCACTCTGAACCAACTTTCTTGCGAAGCATGTCAGGGATTACCAAAGGATTCTGAATCAAAGTGTTTGAATTTGTATAAATCCTCTTTCACTTAAAAAATAGAAGAGTGTATTCTGAGGAAGCTGGGATCTGGTCAGGCAGAAGGAACGGCATGCCGAATGCTCTGGCATCCAAATAGCACAGCCCATAGGAACGAGAGGAGAGGAGGGCCTGGCACCAGGAGCTGAGCAGCGTCTGGCAGATGGGGAGCCAGATACGAATCTAGTTTTTCACATTGATAAATTATGAAGTAATGCCTAGTCTCTTTTTTAAAAGAATTTATCATGAAGAAATCATTTGGAGATTTCAAAAAATGGTTTTCATTAGCTTAGATAACATATCATTCAATTTATCACCAGAGAAGATGTCGCTTCCTATACTTTTGTCTGAGCACATTCTCTATATGACATGAACATTTAGTTCCCCCTAATGTCTAATGGGCAGAAGATTTCATGAAGATTGAAAGAAGCCTATTGAATTACTCAGGCCTCTGAAGCACAGCAGGGACAATCAGCATGCCTATGGGTAGTAAAAATAAGACTAAGGACGCCTTCATTCCATGGTCCATAAATATGCACTAACCTAGTTTGTGTTCCAGGCAATCTTATGACCCTCGAGTTCTTACTTAATGGAATGGGCTTTTAGGCAATTGCCAATTCCCTCCTGTTGGTGCCTCAGGGTGCAGACTGCTAACTAAAGCTTTCTCAACGCCCCCAAATGATACCTTCAGGCACCAGGTGGGCGACTCTGGCCCAGAGCTTCTCTCTGCGTTGGCATGAGTTCATGCTTTAATGAATCAGAGATCTGAGGTGGTCTAACTGTGTTCACTCCTGACCCTTCACACACTGTTAGTGGAAACACAGACTGGTCCAGTCCCAGTGGAAAACAGTACAGAGATTTGTCAAAATACTAAACCAGATCTACATACAATCCAGCAACTCCACTCTTAGGTATCTACCTGGTGAAAGCAAAAACATTAATTCAAAGGGATATGTGCACTTCTACATTCATCGTAGCACTATTTACAATAGCCAAGTTATAGAAACAACCTAAGTGCAGATGAGAGGATTAAAGAGATGTGGTCTATATACACTATGGGATACTACTCAGCGAGTAAGAAGAAATCTGGCCCTTTGCAAGAGCATGGAGGGAACAGAATGGGATGCTGCTAGTGAAATAAGTCAGAAGGAGAAAGGCAAACACTGGATAATTTCACTCCTGTGTGGTATACAGAGAAACAAAACCAGGGAACAGACAAAACCAAACCAATTTTGACTTCAGAACTGAGGCTGCCAGATTGGGAGGGGTAGCGGGGAGACGTAGAGGGAGAAGAAGACCCATGGATTATGGTGGAGGATGTGCGTACCTTGGTGGTGTGCTGGATAAAGTCACATACATCTGAGAGGTGTGCGCCTATACCGCTGAATCAAAAACAGCGTTGGTAACCAGTGTTGCCTCAGTGAATATATAATGAATTGCTCCCTTCACTTTGAGATCTTGCTTTCTTCCCACTTTCCCTGATTTTCCAAAACACTTTCTTCTCACTTTATATCTAATTCCCTCTCCCTTGGTGTCCTAAGCCTTGGGGACTTACACTGAAAACCATAGTTTTTAGGGGACTATATATTTTTAGACAACATAGTTTGGGATAAAGTAAGGTACTTGTTTAGCTGATAATCCAGGATGGGGAATGCAGATCAGCTCCTTCATCAGATTCAGCTTCCCGGGGGATGACTTCCCACAGCTGACCAAAGACACCATCGCCAGAGGCACCGTGAGCTCTGCAGGCGGCTCCTGCAGGAGGGTGAGTGCGGGGTGTGAGGGGCAGAGCTCCTTAGTGAGGGGGTGCTCGTGCGCCCTCTTCCCAGTAACAGAAGAGAAAGCTACCAACCTGCGGGCACTTGAGTGAAGCAATGTGGAGGTACAGAGGCATCTCGTCCAGGATGGCACCGGCTTTGGCGGCTGCGAGTGACACGGCGCCAATGGCCATGCTCCCGCACAGCACCGGCTCGGTGGGCTCCGCGGGCAGGATGGGCTTCTCCACAAAAGAGTCCTTCATTCCTGGAGAGAGAAATTTTTTTAAGTTTATTTATTTATTTATTTATTCATTTATTCACTTATTTATTTATTTTTTGTTTTTTCACACCAGAACCGGGGTACAGGCCAGATGCGCAGAAGAGTGAGAGAAATCACCAGAGACAGAGCGGGGAACAGAAATTTTGCTCAAAGACTCACTTCTGGGAAATTTGGCTGCAATAAAACATTTTTTCAGTGCTTTACTTACAGATGTGAAGGCTCAGGAAAAAAACAACAACAAAACAAAAAAACAAAAAACGGGGTGCGGGATGAGGGCTGCAAACTGAGGCGGAACAACATGCTCTCCATCTCAACCCCCAGGAAGGTTTTGTGCGCTGTCACAGCTCAAACACCAAAGCTCAAACACCTCTTAGTCATGGAGTTTGCCTTGCTCTCTGAGTTTTAGGACATTGACTACTAAGTCCAGAGACAATCCTATGAGGTAGTACCCTCATCCCACATTCACCTACAAGGAAACTGGGGCTTGCAGAAATGAAAAGAAGCGCCCAGTACCTCACAGAAAGTGAACAGAGGGAGGATGGAGCCCGACTCGGACCTCCAGAGCCTGTGCTTTTCCATATCCTGCCTGCTCCGGCAAACGTGACTTCCTATTGAGTATCTCTTCATGTGCCCATCTACCTAGTCATCTTTCTGGCCAACCCCAACCCAATGTCTTTTTCTATCAGAAGTGCCTGCCAGACCCGGCACCCACCCAGGGTACTCCCCGTCTCTCACTCAGGCTGCTCATGTACCAGAGTCCATCATCTGCCCCCAGTGCCTTCTTGTCCTCTCCTTCCCCACAGCTACTAGCCTGGTGAGGTAGGTAAGTGGAATAAGCACCTCGTACATGATAAATGTTTAGCAAATGACTATCCCCTTCTTTTAAGTTCCAGGTTCTGTCAACAGCGACCACCAAATGAACATCCCTGGTCTCCAGCTCTAGTGAAGCGGTGGCAGTGCCCACCCTCTGACAGACTGGTCTCAGATGATACTTCAGCCTTGGGAAGCTCCACTGTGCTCCCAGGGTGTCAGCATCTGAATCTGTGAGTTAGGAGACCTTGTCTCCATGGTCTCTTTGGTCCTTTTCTGGTTCTGGAGTGTTCTTATTCAATGGAAGCTCCATTGTGGGGGACACTTAGTTTGCACCTGGCATTGTGTGAGGCACTGTGATGTTAAATTGAGAGCATGTTCTAGGTGGACAGACATACAAGACACTGTTGCAATACGAGCATCATCTCCATAAGGAACATGCTGGAGGGGCTGAGGTTAGCAATGTGGTGGAAGGCATGGAGAAAGGGGCTGTGATAGCTTTGAGTACTTGCTTTAAAATAGCAAAGTTTTCAAAAGAAAGTTTTTTTAATATATTACATAGGACTAAGAAATATTGGTTATCTATATCAAAGGATATCGTTGATCTTTAAAATATGGAGTGGCTTTTCGATGAGCTAATGGAAAATCTGAATTGCACCTAGAGGTTCCCTGTGCCACTTTCTCCTTCCCCACCACTGGCAGTGCCACTGTTCAGTGCACTTGGGTAAGTTCTCAAGTCTGGGTGAGAGAACTTTTCATCTTACCACTAAAAATGGAGGGTGGATGGGGTGAACCCTGTTCGCCCAGTGTGGTGGCTACAGGCAGGGAGCTGGCAGAAAGATGGATGGCACCTGGTGGGAGCCCAACCTCATTCTGTGGCAAAGTGAGTCTACCTGGAAAAGGCAGCCCAGCTGCGCCACCAGCTTCTTCCCCACACATGCATGAGAAGCCACTGACCTGCCTTTTGTCCTTTCTTTTTGGCTGGAGGTGGAGGTGGAGGGGGCGGGGTCTGAGAAACAGGCACCATTGAATCTTCCAGGTTCTTTTCCAATTCTCTTCTCTCCTGGTCTTCTTGTACTTTATTTTCAAAGAACATCCTTAAGGACAAGAAAACATGACTTCACTATGGGTCATTTAGGAACATCGCTTGTAATTCTGGTTATGTTTTAGAGCTGACCCTAACATTTAAGACCTAATAATAAAGTCTGCTTTTTAATGACTTCAGAACAAGTTATCTTCCACTTCCAATATCAAAAAATGATGATGCTCTTATAAGCCATGTTTAAGAGCTGAAATAAAGTTTGGCTTGAAAATAAATGTTTCAAGATTTCAGGTACTCATGTTTAAAATTCTTTGAGCCTAATTGTATTTTTAAAGTAAAAATTTAAAATGTAATTTGACTAAAGGCTAATGGATTTTCGTTCAGAATAAGTGATCATCAGAAACAAAATGAATTAAGAATAGTGAAATATAGCATTATGTACAGAACTTTTTGAGTGGGAGGGGGAATCTTAAAATGAGGAGTTAAGAAATGCTTTGGGAAGGCCCACTTAGTTACATCTAGATAAGATTGCAGTCTCCCTGAATAAGAAGAAACCAAAAGCTTCCAATGTGGTGGGGGGGGGCAGAGAAAAGAAAATGAAGAAAACAAAAAACAAAGTCATGGGAGCCTGATTTCCCTTAGAATGATTAATAATCCAGATGCCGGAGGAGCAGTACCTTTAAAATACTGAGAGAACCAGATTTCAAATGAGATTTCTATACTCAGCTAAACTGTCAGCCTTTGGCATGATGTGCTTCCATTTCCATGCATGTAAGAACTCCAAACTTTATATCCACATGCCCTTCCTCATCCTTACTTTTAAAGGACGTCATCCAACAAGTTAAGAAGAGGAAGAGATGGAATCCAGGAAACAGGAGAACAATGAGGACTATTTTATGGCTTCTCTGTGTTAAGTCTAGAGAGGAACCAGTCCAGATGGGAGGCTTGGGGAGAGAAAAGTCAAGGGAAAAAGGAATGTAATAGAATGTATGACTGAACACTTGGGAGAAAAACTAAGGAAATGATAATAGCAGGTAAAACAAACAAACAAAACACAAACAAAAAAGGAAGAAGTGCAATATCATTCAGTAACTTCAAGAAAGCCAAAAACCAGTCTAAAAAGTTTTCTTTTACAAAGGTCATGAAATAACTGGTGCGAACTAAAATGTGATGCTGTGCACAATTAAGCATGTGAGGGTACAGCATTGGACGTGCACAAGAGAAAAAGCAATGCCAGTCAGTCCAGACTTGACTGGGCGAGCCTCACACAGTCCAGTAAACACTTCCTGAGTCACCTGTGGACAGGCCCGGAAGACTTGTTGTGTCTGGAGGGCAGACTATAAGCTCCATCCACTGTGACTCTATATCAGGATGTGAGGAGCTCAAAGGTGGCTTGTGAGGAAGTGGGGAGAGGGAAAGGATGTCATCTAGATTCTGAATTTCATCCTTTTCTTGAGAAATTTGACTGCGTCCTAGGTACAAAAGGAGGCCAGCAGGTCTTAGGTAGCCTTACACAGTGAAAATTTAGTAGCAGGGTTCTCAGAGGGAAAACCAACTTCTCATGCTCAATTGTGCTTCTTAAGTGACTTCTCAATCTGTGCCCCTACAACACATCTGCTGGACTGGCAGCTGAAATGGCAAGAACATGTCTATTTATGCTGACACCTATTTCTAAGTGGAGGGTTTACCTGAGCACCTGGTCCACCTCGGCCTGGTTGGAGGGGGCTATGCCCTGAAGCTGCTCGGTGAGGGCCCCGTTTACCCACTGCACAGCCATGCTCACGGCCTGGGACCTCTCTGCTTCCTCCACCTCGGCTGCCTCTGAGGAAGCGTTCTCGTGGACTTCGAAATGAGTCCCGATCACCACAGAACATATGTTCTGAAAACAATACAAGCAATGATACAAATGTTTTACATTTCCCCTACTTCTTGCAGAAAATAGGAAACTGAATTAATTTAGCTTTTAACATGCATGATATTTTATCACCGATTTCAAAGGGAAAACGAGAATATATAATTTTCTTTGAGATATTTTTATCTGCTGAAAACACTGTGGAATCCAACGTCAAGGAACATTTAAAATTATTACCTTGTGAAAATATCCTTATAAAAACCTTACATTGAACTTCATTTTCATCACTCCTTCTCAAAGGATACAGATTAATCCTGCTTATTTTCTTCCCAGAGATTGTAGCAAAATTATTGCTAGCAAAAATGTAGCAATTTAAAGTCTAAATTATTAAAATGAATTTTCTTTTTGCAGAATAGTCTACATATCTACAAATCTATGTAAATCTTTACACAAATACAGGAATATATAAACCTCTCTGTAGATTTGTAGAACTCACCATATTTCTAATGTCAGAGTTTTGAAACTATGTTTACCCTCACTACCTTCTCCATCTTGGGTCATCTTTGTCTTAGCATGTCATATTTATACCAAAATTATAACAAATGATGCCATCATGGTTGAGTGTTTGAGTCATGCTTTTATGTGCATGAGTACCTACAAATTGCATGTGTTTTCCTGTGTATCTTATAAACACAGAATTTCAAAATATTAGCTTTCCACAGTTTAGACAACTAATACTAATAAATTAATGCTAGGCAATTAATGCTAATAAATGAGGCCAGGACAGAGATAAGAACACATATATGCTGCCTCATACCTTGGGGAAATTTTGAATGGTGCAGAATAGTTCCACTTGCAGGGTTGGAAGTGCCAGTCCATCCAGGACACTTTTCCCCACTACTTTGCATATGGTGGGAGGCTTTGCAAGTTTAGAAAAGCAGTTTGCCTTTAAGATACAAACAAAAAAGCACAGATGTCATGTAATCACATCTCACTTATCTTCAAAAGTCATTCATGTACTTTTGAAAGATCAAACATTTACTCTGGTTTCTACTAAACCTCTCCAAGTATCCTCCATGTGCCAGGAGTAGCCTCGCCCTTTCAGACCTACCTTTCCTCATGTCCCAAGATTTGGACTTAGCCAAGTGTTGGTCTCTGGTAGAATGTGTTATCTTTTGACTGTCAGTAGACAGCCCCATCCATTTCGTCACTTAAAGGCCCTGTGTTACTTTTTAAAAATGTTTTATATTACGTATTTTTTACATCATTTTTCATTTTTGCACAATGTATGCTTTTTCATCTTGGTTATAGTCCTCATACACTTCCTATTCCCCCTTATTTTGACAGTAATCCCTCCTACCTCTCTCCCCGCTCCCCCCTTACTGTGTCTCTGGCTTATAGTTGCTTGTCGATTTTGATTTTTAACTGCCCTTCTCTAGTCAGCCCAATTCCCTAACATCTCCTTCTGTCCAAGGTGCTGAAGTTCATGGTTCTCTACAACACTGTCATGTACTCCAACTGAAGAGATCTTGAGTGGGCCAGTTTTTATTCCTCCAGCAAGGAATCGAGTATTTTAATCATGAAAACTTATGCAGAGGCCACATTTCACTTATCAGTTCATGAATAGAACAATGTGTTCAAAAAGGATTGTTGGAACCTTGGTCATAGCAGTTGCCTTGATGCGTTAAAGCAGGAACCACTTGGAGGTGACCCAAGAAAGAGATGGAAGAAAGATAATGAGACCGAGATGGAAGGCCCATTAAAGGGGCCTGAATGAGAAGATTCAGATGGTGTTTCTACGTAGAGGAGAAGAGGCCAGGGTAGAAGAAGTGGGGGAATCTTCAGTTTGAGCTTTCAGTTCAAAACCTAATGACTTCAACCTACATAAGGGCCATCTAACCCCATCACATGCCACTGAAGAGTGGTGCCCCAGTAGAACTAAAGCAAAGGCCCTTTCATGAGAACCCATGTTTTTGTTTGCATGTTACAAAGTAGATGTCTAAGAGAGCTTAGATAGAATTAGGATAGGAAAAATATGTAGTATATCCTTTGTGTATTACCGGGAGTTCAATTCAACAAGGCCCTATAATTTGCTACATCTTGCACTCCTAACACAGTAAAGGATGAAACAAACAAATATTTTTTCAAGTGCTTAATGTGTACCTTGAAGGAGTTACTATGTCTTGTTTCTCACAGTTGCCTGGTATCACAGGGCCTGGTATATAATTAGGATTCCATTAATTAAATCTTATATAATTAATAATCATCAGGCATGTTATAACATTAAATTCTAAGAACACGATTGCCAGAGGTAGGAAGTAGGGGGCAAGGCAAAACAGGTGAAGGGAGTCAAAAGCTAGAAATTTTCTGTTATAAAATAAATATAATATTAACCATAGTTAATAATACCATATTGTGCCTTTGAAAGTTGCTAAGGGAGTAGATTTTATAGGTTCTCATCACAAGAAAAAAACCCCTAAATTTTCTAACTATGGGTAATGACAGATGTGAACCAGACTTCTTGAGGTGATCATTTCACAATATATACAGATAATGAAGCATTATGTTATATACCTGAAACATGTAATTTTTATGTCAGTTACACCCCAACAGCAACAAACAAGTCTCAAAATAACTGTATAAGGTGAATGAGTGGTATCAACTCCAATTCATAGATGAGCAAATGAATAGCCCAAGATAATGTGTTTTGATTATCTACTGCTTTGTAACAGACCACCCCAAAACTCTGTAGCCTAAACCCCTTATTTGTTCATGTTTCTGCCATCTGGGGTGGGCTCAACTGTGGAATTCTTCATCCACGGTCTCCTGTGAGGCTTGATTGGGACCACAGTATCAAAGGTGTTTCATTTGCATGTTTCAGTTGGGATGATTGGAAGAGCCATCCAGGCTCTCACTGGGCATCTGCCTGTCTCCCAGGCTATCCTGGGGGGTCTCACACTTGTGGGGCCTCTCTTCACCTGATCTCTCTCTCTTCAGCAGGACTTCTGGCAGCAAGATGACAATCTTCCAAGAAGGAATGTTCCAAGACAATGAACCTCAATATTCATATACTTACCAAGCTGTTGTATAATGCCTTTCAAGTTACTGTTGATCATATGTGCAAGTCTGAAATCTATGCCAAGGGGCTTACTTCATACTGGTGTTATGGGTCACTGAGGGACATCAAGGTAACTGTCTCTATTCAATAGATGCTCAACAGCCATTCAGTTCCCACCCCCAGGGATCTTCCCTGTCCAGGAATTCCTTTTGTATGCGTGAGAAGCATAGAGGAAATCATCCTGGAGCTGCATTTGGGAGGATGTGGAGTATTTCATCAGGCAGACAAAGGAGGTCAAAATACTTCAGTTAGAGTGAACAGGACAAAGGGCAGGGAAGTCGGTCACCCTTCAGGCTTTAGTGGAGGAGTGAGGGGTGGGATATAAGCCTGTCTTCCCAGGTAGGAGGAGCACTGGAACTCATAGAGAAGGCTTTCCATCTTACTCACCATTCAAAGGGCAACCATAGGAGGCTTCTGAGCAGAGGATGATGCCAGACTTGAATATTAGGAACAATAGAAGAGGGACTAGGTGAGACTAAGGATGACAGAGACTAGGTCAGTGACTAAGGAAATGAAAAGGAGGTGGCCTTTTGGACCACTCAAGATCTGAACATCCTTCAAAGTCCATGCCAAAACTTTACCACAGCCTACAGGGATCTTCCACATTCAGGAATTCCTTTACCCAGCATATAGCAGTGGCTCCTGAGTCTAGCATATGGCCATATGTTGCCCTTTTATTTTTTGCCAATTATTTTATGTATCAGTAGCTTGTGTCTCTAATCTAGGTATATGCCCCCAGAGGGCTTGACAAACCAAATCTAGCTGCCTACGGCTGGAAGATCATTACACTGGAGAACAAGAGTCTGCATTTCTAGTCTGAGCTGTTGCACTATGTAGCTGTGAGACAGGCTGGGGGAGGGGGTTGGACTAGTTAACTTTGGACAGTTTTTCTAGTGGGAGACAGTGGGATGAGAATGGAATTCAATCACATTCATTCCACAAATAGTTCTTGAGTGTATCATGTATCTTGCCTGTATCATGCACTCTTTTTGGACCCAGAACTGACTCATTAAATTTCTCATTGTCACTCATTGGATCCCTTGGGGAAACCATTTAAATTCTGGGATACGGTTTCTTTATTGGTAAAAGAGGAATCATTTAGAATTGAATGACATGGCATATGAAACACCGGCATGAGGAACTCAGTGACAACTCCCTCACTTCCATACAAACATGAAAGAGGAAAATAAACATTAAGGGGACATGCTCTGTATCACCTGTTTCTACAAGATGGGGCACTGAAGCCGGGGAACACAGCGTGCATATTCACAGCACTGACACACTGTTTGGTGTGGCCATATTGCCTCACCTCGGTGCCAACCCCCAAGGCACGGCCTCCCTCTGTTGTCTGGGAGCTGGCGGCAAGGAAACCCTTGCCTTTGTGTCAAATGCTTGCGCTTAAGGCCAAGACGCGAACCCTTCTGGAGAGCGGCACACACCTAGGGAGGTTCTATGGAAAGGTGCCCTGCTCTCCACGGGAGAGCTGCCTGGGAAAGGTTCGACACGTGCTGGAAATGCCACAGGGAACAGGGCCAAGTGGGCAAGACTGAAGTGGCCCTGCAGTTCAGGGGCAGCTGGTGGGGTGCGGGTGGGCACCCGGAGAGGGCAGGGCGCCCCTGCCAAGCAGCAGAGGCTTGAAGCCCCAGTGAAACTTGGAAGCCGAGGCGCCCAGCGGGGCCTGAGGCGCTCGGGCAGGCCGAAGTCAAGGGGCAGCAAAGGCGGGGCGCCCCTCCCGCGGCCAACAGCAGGCGGCTGTCGGGGGGCTGAGCCACGAGGCACCAACATGTGGGTTCAAACAGCCCCCAGCGCGCAGGGCCGACTCGCCAGGGGTACCCCGGCGCCTGCCAGCCCCCGGGAGCGGCTGCGGCCCCCCAGCCGCCCAGAGTCCCTGCCCCTCCGGCCGCGTCCTCAGGCCCCTCGGCGCGGCCGACCCCGGCCCGCGGCGCGGCGCGTGCGCGGTCCTGGCGCGCATGCGCACGGCGCTGCCGCAGCGCGGGGCGGGGGGGCGCGGGCGCGGGCGGGAGCGGGTGCGCGCCGGGTCCCTACCAGGTGCCCGTAGACGTCGGCGGGCTGGAGGTGGAAGGTGGCGTTGAGCAGCTCCTCCAGCCTGCGCGGGACGGCGTTCTCCCGGTAGTACTCCAGCGCCCTCTGCTTCAGCCTCTGCAGCTCCCTAGGGCCCCCACAGCCGCGCGGGCCGCCGTCTTCCCCCATGGTAGGAGATTCAAGGCGACTGCGGGCGTTAGCTGGGGGGCCCGCGAGCGTCCCCCTGTCGCTAGGCAACACTGCGAGAGCCCGACCCCAGATCTCGCGAGGCTTCCGGCCCCGGGTTCCTCGGGCTGCGCGGGCCTCTGGCTCCCAGGTCCGCGGCCCGGGCTCGCGGGCGCGCACCCCCGACGGGCGCTTCCCCGCGGTTGTCCGGAGGAGGAGATAGTTAGCCCGCTCGTGAAGGGCGTCTGGCGCTTTCCCGGCCTCCGGCTGGGACTCAGGCTCGGGGGGTCGCCCGGACCCTCCCCACCCCTGGGCCCACCCCTACCCCTGGGCCCTGGCCGTAGGGCGCCCCCCACCCCTGGGCCCTGGCCGTGGGGCCCTCCCCCCCGCTACCCCCCCACGTCCTGGCTGTGGGGCCCTCCCCCTCCCCGGGTCCTGGCCGTCGGACCCTCCCCACCCCTGGGCCCTGGCCGTGGGGTCCTCCCCCGCCCCGGGTCCTGGCCGTCGGGCCCTCCCCCACCCCAGGGCCCTGGCGCTCCTCTGGCGTGGGTGGCGGCGGGTGCTGGGCTGGCCACGTTGGGGGAGGGATCCAAGAACTCAGGGGGTCTGTCCTTCATAAGCTGTGGAGTGTGGCCGGCTGGGCCAGCAGCTTGCGGGCTGGGAGAGCAGGTCCAGGGCAGAAAGGCCTGTGCGGGCCCCCAGGGACATGAGTGGGCTGAAATCAGTGGAAGGCAAGAACCCTGTGGGCCGGAGAAATTGGGGGGTGCACTTGAGGGGATGGTTGTGGCTGGGAAAGGCCTGGGGATTAGGGGTGGTACAGGCAAGACTTGAGTGGGCATGGCAGAGGGTCAGGGTTCCTCCTCTGAAGCCTTCGGAGGCCTTCTGTGTCCAGCTCTTTTAAATCCAAACTGCCCTCGTGGCCTCCTTCCCCCTGCCAGGTGTCACTTGCGGTTATACAACTTCTTAATGTGGGCTCTGCTCCAGGCGCTTCTGCTGCAGCAGCGGCCGCCGTGGGAGGGGGTGCTGGTCCTCTTGCCTGTTTGTGTTTCTGACTGAAGCAGATGATTTAATAGATGGTGAAAGGATGACACCTCATTCTGCTTATCGGGAAATCAGTCTTAACCTACTCTGCCTGCTTCACCAGTCATATAGGATAAAGTGAGAAAGTGCTTTGGAACAAGGCAGTTATTTATAGGCGCCCAAGGGTATAAAGAAACGCAATTCTGTAAACATTCTTACATGAACAGGGACAAGCACCTCCTTGGGATCCTCATGCCTCAGTATTTTCTCTGAATCACTTTCTGGGGTACGGCAGGACATCATGGACTTGTCTCATCCTTCTTGCTGGATGGAAATCCCTCCATGGTGGAGTGGAGTCTGAGTCACCTTCACATCCACCGCAGAGCCCAGCCCGGCAGGGACAGAGCATGTGCTCTGCTAAATAGGTGCTGCGTGAGGCTTTATACAAAATAAGCTGGTGCAATTGCTGCTGTGCTTTCCTTTTCACCTCTGTGCCTTTCCTCAGACCCCCTGATGGAAAGCACCCCCTTGGCTCCCATGTCCTTTAATGCCTCGGTGAGTCCCATGTCTTCAAAGAAACCACGCTCCATGGCTCTCTTCGCTCAACCCCCTTTTCTTCTGAACTCTTTCTCCACATGTAGCCTGAGCCACAAAGTTCAGCCCTGAGGGAGGTCTTGGCTCACTTGATGTTTTAATGGAAGATTGGAAGCATTGTGGGCTGGTACTGCCAGGTCCTGGGGTCTCCCCTCTAACCATTGTCTTCTAAGTTCCGTGAGGCCAGGGACTCAGTCTGTCTTGCTCCCCAGCACCACTACTTTACCTGACAGAATAGTTTAGTAAAAATTTGTTCAGTAAATGAATGGATTTTGCACATAATAAATGTTTATAATCAGTGTTCTGGAGCTGGGTGAATTAATACCCTAGGCTGGCTAGATTAAAGTGTCTGCTTTAAGGAATAATGAGAGATAAGGATGGAAGTCGTTAAGATGAAATGATGACGGGACTAGAATATCATTCTCCAAGAGTGGGAAGCAGCCCCTAATTTCTGAGTGTAGGTTAGTCAAAATGGAAGAAGCATTTTAGGAAGTTAACTGGCAGCAGTGCTTGGCTTGATGGACGTGTGGCTACACAGAAAGCAAGAGATCCAGGTGGGAAGTAATACAGACACAAGCTCCTACACAGTCATGATGGTGATGGGAAGAGGTGGGTGAGAGGCCTGACGGAAGGAAGGAAGGAAGTCACTTTGAGTGATTGGATGTGGGGTTGGGAGACTTGAGGTGATTCCACTGAGGATGACTTGTGGAATTCTGTCACAGTGGAGCTAAATGACTGAGGCATCTGGTTTTGACAGGAAACCATGCATTTGGTGTTAGCCATGGGGAGGCAAGCTCTGGTGTCCCAGAGAAAAGGGAGGTCTGAAGAGGCAGGTGGAAGATGGCCACATGGAAGTGAGCATTGAAGTAAGAGTCCAGGAATCCTCTGGAGGGAAAAAGGAAAAAATCCTCTTGCATGAAGGACCTAAATATTGGGGGAGGAATCTATTTAGAACATAGGAGGAGGGGGAAGGCGCTGTAACAACAAACAAAGGGGGCTCAAAGGAAGAGGACAAACTCCAAATCACAGTGTCCAGGGCAAAGCATTCTGGGAGTGTCAGGTGTGTGCCTTTGTGTGTGTACATAGGCACACAGCTGAGTCTAAAAGGATGTGTGTTAGCATGCTAGTGGTTTTATGTTTGGGTCCTGGAATCATAGGGGGCTTTTCTTCTTCCTACATAGTGGTAGTTTCTGATTTTCCTAGAAGGCATATATTACTTGTATACCTTTAATGAATGATATTAAAAATATTTTCAGGAAGGATGTTAATTCAAATGTTACGGGATAACTGAAGACTGAACAAAGATTTTAGGAAATCGGTAGTTCCCTTACAGATCATTCCATTTTCTCAAAATAAAACTATATAAACTAAATAAAAATATAAACTTACCATCCCTGCTTCCCTCTGCCTTTGGTTCAATCAGCAGATATTTATCGAATGCCTACCATGTTCCAGGCACTATGCTAGGCACTGGAGGGAAAGCAGTGAGTAAAATAGATAATTCCTTTTCCTCGTGGCACTTAAGTTCCAGTGGCACTTATATCCTAGTAAGCCATCACTGGGGACAGTGAACTAAAGTATTAGACTGGAAAATATTTAGAAAAGGTGGTACGCTATGGATTTATCAAGAGCCTATTAGAGCCTATTCTCAATAGGTCCAAAGTAAATAAAATGATTATTCATGAATATTCCAATTTTCAATCTTATTCCCCATAGATATTAGAGCTTTAGCTGTAAAATACATTCATGCATATGCATATTTTGTAATACTTAGCACATTCCTTGTTTTAGTCCCTTGGCGGCTGTATTTCCATTTCATATTGCGACTCAATGTCCAGGGGCACTTACAGAGCTTAAGAGCCTGAAAGGGACTGAGTGTGCTGGGAGCCCTAAATGTGTGGAACTCGGGGGCTGAAGAGCGGAGTGGGAATAAGGGAAGGGAAATAAAAAGGATACTCAGGTGATACAGAAAGTCTCTGGAATATTCCCAGGGAGAGAATAGGACTGTCCTCTCCTCCTTTAGAAAGAGAAGAGAGAATAGAGACGACACAGCCTTGACTGTTAGCTGCCTGTGGGCGCGGTGCCCCCATCAGAAGGGATTTATGTTGTGGGACAAGGACCTCTTGTATGGGACTTAGAAAACCTAGACTGGAGTCCCATCTGTTCCCAAGATCTTCCAAGACCTCATCAACAAAATGATTGAGTTGGGCTGGTGTTGCTTGACTTTTTAGTATGAAGATGCCTTACTAACAGCAAAAGTGAACCCCTTGACCCCGCCATGTGGTAGCGGTGATCTATAGGGCCGCTGAATTCAGCTGGATGTACATCTAGAGCATTTGTGTCCATTCATGGAAGTGCTGTACCTATGACAAAGAATGTATTTATGGGCAAGCCATTCTTCAGGGATGTGTTTGGTGTACGTGTGGGATTGTGGGCAGCCGGTCCGCAGTCCACAGGCCTCTTGGAGACCTCAGGTGAGACCCTCTGAATTGGGGTTCTCCATCTCAACTCTCTTCTCCTTTGTCGCTCTGATTCCAGATAAAGTAGCAGGACGTATTGGTCAACTCCTACATGCCAGTTGAAGACCTTTCAGAGAGGAAATTATTCATCAGTGTGCATTTTATTTTATTTAAAGATGTATTTATTTATGCATACAAGAGCTGGGGTACAGGCCAGAGGTGCAGGGGGGTGAGAGGATTCACCAGAGACAGAGTGGGGAACAGAACAGGCAGATAGACCAGACCGAGGTACACTGCTGAGGGGAGCAGTGGGCGAGTCAGAAGAAGTCTCCTGTGCCATGTGGGCTCTCCCTGGCTGGCCAGGGATCGAACTCATGTTGCAGAGGCTGTGAACTGCTTCATAGTGCAGTGCTCAACCCCTTGCGCCACCAGGGAGGCCCCATCAGTCTGCATTTTAAAAAGAATTTCTAAGCTATGTCATTTAGGCTTCATTTACTAAATGAAGGAGGAAAAAGGAAAATGTATTTGTTCATTTTTTCCTTCATCCTTTTTAACACCTTTATATAATTGGAGCTTGTTTGCATGACTTTAGTATTTAGATGTTATTTTGGGGTTACTGTCAAGAGCATGTTAATTCTTCATGCCTGCCTTTGCCATCTGTGTTGAATATCATTTTTCATAGGGAACTAATGAACTTGATTGCAGGTGCTTTTAGTCATAGAATCATAAACAGGGGAGGAAGGAGCACAAGGGACTATGGTGATGTGACGGGTGACTTCGTGGTGGGAATTTTACGAGGACTGCAGCTGAGAGAAGAAAGCATACATTGTACAAAAACTAAGAATGATATAAAATATATATATAAAATAATTAAAAAAAACCCAACCTCTTCTGTTGGTGAAGCACTTTCATATGCCCTGCGTTTCCTTAT